TGGCTCTGCCGCGGTGCGATGGGGTAGCTGGCGGTAGCTGAGCTCCACTGCGCACAGCCACGTGGCCCGGCGCGCCCGCTGCGCTCCCCGAGTCCGGGTCCGTGCACCGCGGAGGGCAGGCGCGCTCCCGCTTTCCGCAGCCTCCTCTTCTTCCAGGTCTCTCTCGCCAGGGCTTCCGCGGATCAGTCGGCAGCCGGCTCCACCTTCCGCTCTGGGCGCCTATCTCCCTCCGATCCTTGCTGACATCAGGCTGGTGGGCGCGCTCCCGCCGCCGCTCACCCCTCAGCCGAACTGGGCTGCGCCTTCCACTTCTGCTGGAGGAGCGCCTCTGCGCACCCGTGCTCCCTGCTCTAGGAGGTGACCCTCCTTGGCCACCCAGCAGCGGCAGCCGGGACGTCTCTCCGCCGGCGTGAGAACACTGAGATTGGGGAACGGAGCGCCTGGCTGTGCCCAGGCTTCCTCCCTCTACTCCCTTCTCCTCCAATCCTCCCCCACCCCGCCCCAGCCCCGGTGCCTGTGTGTGTCCGCACAGGCGAGGGGACCCGGAGAGCAGCCCAGGCTCGGCGCGCGGCGGGGCTGCGGCTGCTCCTGCTGCTGAGGGAGCGGCGGAGGTGGCCGCCTTGCGCCTCCCTGGACTTCCCAAGTCGGGGCAGAGCAGTCGCTCGGGGACACGACGGTTAGAAGGCTCAGGGTAAGGGGAACCTTCAGACTCCTCCTCGGTGTCTCTTCTCCGCCCCCTTTTGGCTCCTGTCCTTGGAGAAAGTGGAGTGTGGCACTTGGTTGTAGTTATTTCCTCGGACTGCTGCCGGTGCACGGATTCAGCTGCTGCCCAGTGGAGCTTTCGGCTGTTTGCGCGTCTCTCTGCGCTGTCCCCTCTGGCACACCTCTGTCGACGGTGAGGAAAGGTCTGCGGCGACAGCGGCCGCTGCGGACTGGGACTGGGATACGTGCTGCAAGTGCTCCTGCTACCTGCCCTGGCCCTGCTCAGCGCCAACGGCACCGGTTCCCCGCTCAAGGTAAGGGGAGCCGCCAGGCTCCGCAGCTACATCCCTTCGCTTCTTCCTTCCCTCCTTCTTCCTCTCCTCCTCCCCAGCTCTCCTGGCTTCCTCGGTCTGCCTCATTGCTCTCAACTGGAAACCACTTTAAATTCCACTTTCCCAACTAGTCAAGAAGCTTTGATTATTGTTACATTTATAAATCTATCTTCTGAGATGGGCGCGGATGGACCAGGGACGCATGGGGTGTGGACACGCATCCGTCTCTGTGCATGTGGGAACCTGGGGTGTCTCTTGCACTTTCCGCTCTGGCAAGCGCATGTGGTTGCATATTGTGCACACAGAGGCTTGGAAAGACTTTGGGTTCTGGTGGCTATGTGGCATGCTGTAGATGGACGCCGATGCGCGTGGTGCGCAGAGGCTCGAGCGCTGTGCCACGCCGGGGTTAGAGGACCGTCACTGCGTCTCTGAGCACACCAGACGCTCAGCTCAGGAGATGTGGCCATTACTGCCGGTGCCCTCGCTGCTGCTCGGGGCGCTGTGGAGATGCACAGCCCACCCGCACCCGCGTTCCCAACCGGAGGCAGGCCCCGGTGTGCATGCCTCCTCACTTCGTTCCCTCTTCGTGTCTTCCTTCCTCCAGGCGACAGAGAAACTTAAAACCTCAGAGCTCTGGGGAACGGGCTGGTCGTTCAAACCAAATCCGAAACTCCCCTGGGTAGGCGACCAGTTTATAAGTGACATTTTAATTGAACGCGTTGCTGTTTAAAATAAGTGTCCGGGGTTCGGAGCAGAGCGGCCGGGAGTTGGGGTGGGTAAGAGAGGAGGGGAGACGCGGGGCTGGTCGCCCGGCTCCCTTCCTGTCCCCCGAGTTTGAAGTGGTAGCGGCAGCTCCCAGCCTTCCGAAGCTGAGTGGCAGGGAGCGAGGGAAGGAAGAACCAAGGCTGCCCTCTCCGGGGTGTCTCTTGGGTCACCTGGGCTCCCAGCCTTCCGGCCAAGCCCAGCGCCCAGCTAGGTCTTTTCGCCGGTTCCTTGGTGATGGCTGGCTCGGGGAAGTCAGGTCAGCTTTTCCTGGAAGGAAAAAGGGACACCCCCATCCCCATCTCGGTTACACTTCTTTCCAAATTTGGAGAGCAAGGGAGGCTCGGCGAGAGCCCCAACTCCCCCGGGGATGCTCAGACCCCGGCGCTTCCCGACTGAGTTCCCTCTGATCTGCGAGAGGCGCTGGGGGCGGGGGCGTGGAGGTGGAGGGGGGCGCAGAGAAGGCGAGTGCGGTCCTGGGGGGAGGGAAGTGATCAGCAGGGCTTGTGAGTTAGCGGTAGCTACTTCGGGAGTACATTTTCCTGCTGCCCTGCTAAGTGGCTACGCTCATAAACCCTTCCTTTCCTTCTCGACAGACGCCTCTCGTCCCCGAGGAGGTCCTGCTCCGGTGTTCTTCTGCAGCCTCCAGAGTTCATCTGTCCATTTTACAAAGGAATGTCCAGTGAGAATCACAGCTTGGTGTGGTTTTCCTGAAATTGGTAAGGAGCTCTCAGGGCGCAGCCGAGGAGGCTTAGAGAGGGGTGTTTGGAAGCTGAAGTGAGCAACCCGATGACCAGTCGTGGAATCCACCGCGTGACTCCCTGTGGAATTCGCCTGCTGTCATTGGGCGTACAAAGGACTGAGCCCGGGGTATGGGTGCAGGGGAGACGGGCGGTGATGGGACAGGGTGAGAGAACTGCTTGGAAAAGGGACAAGTTAAAGTATCCAAAGATGCCAAACAGGAGACAGGATCCCTGGTGAGAGCTTGCAACAGCCGAATTAAAAAGACTGGGTAGAAAAAGGATCAGAAAAGATAATCAAACAGGAGATTGTAAATGGATTAATACTGAAAGAAAACGGGAAAAGAGATTAAAAGAAAAACGCTCAGGATGTCGAGACTGTTTCCTTCTTGCACTTTTTCTTTTTATGGACTAGGCAAGTCAGAGATTGAGGATTGATGCTGATCTTAAGCAGAAAAAATAAAATGTACTCCGTGGAGCGAGTGCATTTCAGAGCGGTTCTTCTCCATTTGGTTTATTTAGTTCCTTCAGTTACTGGTGAATAGGATTTTTGTTTGAATCTTGTTTTCTGTGAAATGCACTGTTCCACCACTTTTATCTTTGCTACCCGCCGTGTTCCAGGGCACTAGCTCTTCTGTATTGTCTAAGTATCAAAGGAAGTGTAAAGCACCAAACTCCACTGTCAGCTGCTGTCACCATAGCTCTAACTTTACCCCAGCCTGTCTACTAGTGAACCACTATTACTTCCTTTCTGCTCTCTTTGGACTAGAGCACTAGCCCATACTCTCAAGGTACGACTTCCTTGTGCTCCTGATTTAAAGATGGGAAGAAACTATGGAAGTACACTTGCTATTAGCATGGAAAGTTAATTTAAGCACTTGACAATATGGGTGAGATTTTTATTCTGTTGTTGTAGAAGTGCTGGAAAAATTAGAAGTCTTTAAAAATATAAGAGAGGTCTTAAAAAAGGTCATGGAGAGATTTGGATTATCTTTAATTCTATTTTTCCACAAACTTTTTGAAGTACCCTCATATATCTCTTCAGAAATAGCCAAAGAAACAACAGATGTTTAAGATAAGAATCAAAATGGGTGTTATTTGTGAGGTTTGTAACTGCGGTTTAAAGAAAGACAGCGGTCATTTTAAACAGGTCCTTGGGAAATTCTCTAGGCTTTAGGCAACAACTTTCTCCTTTCTGGATATGCCCTAATCGTTTCATTCAGGATTGCTGGAAACTCCTAGCTCCCGAGAATTTGTGGTACTTCTGACTTCCAAGAATGAAAGATTTTACTCATAAAAGACTGTGTGTGTGTGTTTGATCAGTGTGCTTCTGAATTAATGCCCTCCTGTCTTATATAAATGCATTTTGTCTGGACTACACAGCACTGATATGATGCTTATTTAGCACCAACTAGTATAATGAGTGTTAACACCACCAAACTCAGAACAGAACATTACTGAAGATTCTAATCAGATTGGGATAATTCTTTATTATCTTAACTTACAGTGTTTTTAAAAACAAGATACTTCTCCCTATAAGAGAGTAAAAATTACTTTCATGCATTTATGCATATCGGTATGGTACATACAGACAACTGGCATTGAAGACAACTGAATTTCCTTACAATTCTACCATATATTTTTCTATTTTAGGAGCAAAGAAAATTCATGCATTCATACTGGGAATTTGCAATAAGGAGAAGGAAGNAGATGGGAAGAAACTATGGAAGTACACTTGCTATTAGCATGGAAAGTTAATTTAAGCACTTACAATATGGGTGAGATTTTTATTCTGTAGTTGTAGAAGTGCTGGAAAAATTAGAAGTCTTTAAAAATATAAGAGAGGTCTTCAAAAAGTTCATGGAGAGATTTGTATTATCTTTAATTCTATTTTTCCACAAACTTTTTGAAGTACCCTCATATATCTCTTCAGAAATAGCCAAAGAAGCAACAGATGTTTAAGATAAGAATCAGAATGGGTGTTATTCGTGAGGTTTGTAACTGCGGTTTAAAGGAAGACAGCGGTCATTTTAAACAGGTCCTTGGGAAATTCTCTAGGCTTTAGGCAACAACTTTCTCCTTTCTGGCTATGCCCTAATTGTTTCATTCAGGATTTCTGGGAACTCCTAGCTCCAGGGAATTTGTGGTACTTCTGACTTCCAAGAATGGAAGATTTTACTCATAAAAGACTGTGTGTGTGTGTGTGTGTGTGTGTGTTTGATCAGTGTGCTTCTGAATTAATGCCCTCCTGTCTTATATAAATGCATTTTGTCTGGAATACACAGCACTGATATGATGCTTATCTAGCACCAGCTAGTGTTATGAATGTTAACACCACCAAACTCAAAACAGAACATTACTGAAGATTCTAATCAGATTGGGATAATTCTCTATTATCTTAACTTACAGTGTTTATAAAAACAAGATACTTCTCCCTATAAGAGAGTAAAAATCACTTTCATGCATTTATGCATATTGGTATGGTACAAACAGACAACTGGCATTGAAGACAACTGAATTTCATTACAATTCTACCATATATTTTTCCATTTTAGGAGCAAAGAAAATTCATGCATTCATACTGGGAATTTACAATAAGGAGAAGGAAGCTGGTTTACCTTTGTTTAGAAAGATGATTTCATGTATTCTGGCTTAGGGAATGCTTAAAAGGCTTCAAAGAGCAAACTTTTCAGCACTTCCAAAGAATGAGAAATCATTAGATTAGAACAGAATATATTGGCC